TATATATATTTAGATATGATTTATATAAAAATAATATCTATGTATTCTTGCGAAGATTCGACATAAAGAAAGCTTTCTTTGCTGTAAAAATGATTATATAATTTACATATATATAATATTAAAAATGTTTATCTAGATAATTAATGTGTAACTAATAAATAATTATAAATTTCATTTTGCAGTTCAGATACTTTACTAAAGCTATATTTAACATGCGCGAGAAACCAGCGCATGATTCATTTCAAAGTCTCCAAATCGCACATGTCTCCCATTATCTCCCATTTCTTCTTTGAATGCCTTCGGATTTGGATGTTTTTGCCACTTCAGTCATCGTGTCTTGGCATTTTTATATCTTGCGTCTTATAATATTTTGATCTACGTTATTAGTTATATCATCACCAGTGAAGGAGACGAAGCTAAATAAGAGAGAAAGAAGCTCAGAAAGAAGATTTCCCCTTTGGGACGCATTGATGCAGTGAATGTGCGTGCTACGCATGGTAGTAAGTGGCTCCAATATTTCCACGTGTTTCTTAAATCTCCGAGACTCTTCAAGAGATATGTGCTCGCCTAATACTCGAGTTCATATGAATTTGTGTCGTATTAAAAAAAAAAAGATCAACGATTCGTTAAACATGAGTCATACGAAGTTCGATATTTTCGTGGGTACAACATCTGGCATCATTAAAGGTAATTTTCCGTAGGTTAATTCTGCGAAATATTTATAGGTTATATATAACCTATATTATATATAACCTGCCTATTTATATTTAATTCACATGTGGAAAATGCAAATTGCAGGATTGAAGATCGGACGAGTAAAGAAAGAGAATAAAATAAAAAATTTGCAGAATGTATCCCTTATTACAGAAACTGATAAAGTGACTAGGATGGCATGGGGCGACAATGAACAAAAGATTTTGGTCGCATGCAGTGGTTACAAAGATAACAAGTAAAGCAATCATTTTTACTGAAAAGAAAAATTTCTTCCTTTACTTTTACATTTCCATGAGAATAGATATGATTTTGTATAATAAAAAAAAATCTAATTTTATGAAAAAATTAATATAATTTTTGCAATATACATCATTTAATTATATAAATAATTGCATTTAATATAATTTCACAATGACACATTAATGTATGTAATTTTACAGTAAAATATTTTATATGATAAAAAATGATTTTAAATGATAAATGATATAATTTGATATGGTGATATAATTGTATGATCCATTTTTTGTAGAGTAAAGATCTTTGATACAGAGAGTGCAGTACTCAAAGATTGGTTTTCTTGTAACATAGGCACAGGTGCTATCAGTGGAGTATCACAATATGGCAGGTAAAATTATCTCAGTGTCAAACAGTGTATTCCACATGCTAGATCATACCAATATTGTCTAGAATCTTCTATAAGCAAGGTTGTAAGTGATTGTGCTTGTAAGCATTGATCAATCATAGTCAAATATTCTTTTTACATTGAACTGTGATTGGTTATTTACTCTGACTTCTTACACTAAGCTTATTCCGCATATTGTAGACAACACAATATATGGATCATTCGGATGGTATTTCCGAATATAGTCCTAACAAAGTTGCTGGTATTCATAATCCGTTCTTATTTTAAAACTATCATATATTTAGTCATAAATAATGTTTCAAGATGCTATACAGCTCTTGATTGATATTCATCATAGTCGGTTTTTATTTCAAGATTATTTAAAGTAATATCTTAAGATGCTAATATGACTGACTTATGACATCTTAAAATTGTACTTAAAACGATCTTGAATATAATGGGCCTTCTACAATAAGCTATAAAGCATAAGTCATAAAGCAGAAGCTAAAAATTGACTGTAATTGGTCAATTTTTAGTTTCTGACTTCTAATTTAGAAAGTTCATTCGAATCATTATGAATACCAGCCTATGATTGGCTTATGACATCTTAAGATTGTACTACAATCTTAAATATAAGAACAGATTATGAACTCCAGACTGTGATTTTATTTCAGTTCTATTTTGACATCGGCCAAAACCGGGGAGGTATGCTTGTGGACTGAGGGAAAAGGAGAGCAATTGATAAAAACCGAACGTAAGTTGAACAGAATGTGCCACTCGCGTGAGCACACCAACTTGATAGCAACCGGGGGAGAAGAAAATAATAAGTTGAGAGTGTTCGATCTAGAGATGCAAAAACCGATATTCTCTGCAAAGGATCTTCCACACGACTGGCTGTGCTTATCCAGAAATATTTCAATATCAGATATTAATTTCTTGCCAGGAAACCTAATAGTCACAGTCGGTAAAAATGGAAATGTAAGGAAAGCAATTTTGTTTTTTTCTTTGTAAAGTTAATCTTATACATTATTCGTGGTCATGAAAGTACAATCATTATTGACATATGTAATTTCATAAAGATACATCTGTATGATCCACGTCGCCAAAGACGTCCTACAATTGATATGACGGTACGAGATGAAGCTTGGACTTGCTTGGATATCACGCCGAAAGAAAAGTAAGATTTGTACATTTTGTACATATATATAAAACTATTGTTACTTTAAAGCATCATTTAAGATAAGTACAAATACATTTAAGATAAGTATACAAAAATCTATCACAATATTTCATATTGTTAAAGACACATCATAGTGGGCTCAACTAAAGGCAAGCTGAATCTCGTCGATTTAAGACAGCCAGGCACCATGCTAAACACGTACAAAGGATTTATCGGTGGTGTAACCGGAGTAGCTTGTAGTAAAACAAATCCATACGTCGCCAGCGTCAGCCTCGACAGATATCTGCGGATACACCATATCCATACAAAAGAATGTCTCAAATCCGTAAGTTTTGAGTTTTAATTTTCTGAAATACTACATTCAAAGCAAATGTTTAATTTGTATTATATTTTACATTACAGATTTATTTAACATCAAAATTATCGTCTTTAGTAATGAAATCAGATATCTGTATAGAAATAGGATACGAAGATGGTACAGAAAATTAACCCTCAACTATAGCAATAGGTCATTTAAATCCGAAGCAAGCAGTTTTGTATAATCTATACAATCTGAACAAACGATTGATACTAATTATTGATACGATTGATATTCTAAATTGTAAAAAAGCTTTGAATCTTCCTTTGTCAATCGCTAAATAAAGCGAAGGTTCACTTGTTTACTTTAAATAGGGTGCTTCAGAACTTATAAGAAATCCATGGAAGGAATGTTTTCCTCTGATTTTAATGAACTTGAATATGTTGTGTTCTAGAAAAAAATAAGGAACATATTTTTTTTTAAACAGCCCAATCGCATTTTTACGAGATACACCTTTTGAAGAAAAAAATCAGTTATTATTTTTTGAAGCAATATCGTTGAAAGAGATAGAAAGAAATATTTTATATAATATGAAATAAAAGTTGAATGGTTTTAAGAGTACTTAAAAATTATAATTTAAAAAAAATTTTTTAGTTTTTACTTAAATTTTTTAAAACTATTTTCATGAAGTATGTTTCAAACAATTTTTCAGAACATTTATTTCTATCTCTACAATTTTGATATTTGCTTTAAAAGAAAACTTTTCAAAGAATCGTTGCACTTCCTAAATTCGATTGTTCTCTTATAAAGAAATATGTGTTCTTTATTTTTGTCTAAAAAAGAATTGCTTGTTAGGATTAAGTATATATAATTTTTGCTGTTGCTAGTTAGGATTAAGATATTTGTTAATTCAAATATCATGAATAAAAAATATTAAATAAAACGCATTTTTATATGAAAAACAATATTTGTTTCTTTTAAAAATGTATAATATATGCAAGTTTTTTTTAATTCCTTATTTTTCACGTTTCTTCAATATTATTAATTTATCATTTAATAGCGTATTCAGCCATAGCTGATTTGCATCAATCTAGATTGGACGTTGTATGCTCTTATATTGGTGGAATATGTAACGTCAACCAATAGTAGAACATTATCCAACCCAAATCGAGGGAAAATGCTATAAAATTCATCACTTCTGACTATATATATATAGGCCATTTAGTGTTTTCAACAAATCATGTAGAGTTGCAGAAAACTATGGCATTAAGCAAATTAAAAGTCTAAAAGTCTAAAACTATGGCATTAAACAATTTAAAAGTCTGAAAGACATATAAAGAAAGCCAAGTATACTTCTTATCTTAATAAAAATGTTTCTACGCAGAATCTATTAAAATATTTCTGAATTTCTAAAAATAAAAAGTTTTTCTACATAAAATCTATATATAAGGTAAAATCTATATAAAGTAAAAAGAAATCCATTATTTTTGCATGAAATTGAAGGCTTTATTTAGTATAGTTAGAATAGTTAGTATAGTTAGTATAGTTAGAATGATCCGATTTAGGTCAAATATGCACCGTTTTGTTCAATAACTTGTTGCCATTTTGAAGGTAATTCCATTATGCCTCTCTCATAGAAACTCTCGTCCCTATTGGCAAAAAACTGGGACAGTCGATTTTCACAAGCTTCTCTTGAGGCGAATTTTTCACCAGCAAAATTTGCCATAGACAGGAACAGGTGGTAATCACTTGGGGCCAGGTCCGGACTATAAGGTGGATGCATAAGAACCTCCCAACCAAGCTCTCGGAACTTCTGACGAGTCACTATCGATGTGTGTGGCCTTGCGTTGTCCTGATGGAACACAATTCCTCTCCTATTGGCCAACGCTGGTCGCTTCTGGGCGATTGCTTCCTTCAGACGGTCTAATTGTTGACAGTACAGGTCCGAATTAAGAGTTTGGCCATAGGGGAGCAGCTCATAGTAGATGATTCCCTGCCAATCCCACCAAACACACAGCAAAACTTTCCTGGTCGTCAATCCTGGCTTGGTCACCATTTGCGCCGGCTCACCGCGATTCGACCACGATCGTTTTCGCTTAACGTTGTCGTAAGTGACCCACTTTTCATCACCAATCACTATCCGCTTCAGAAATGGGTCGATTTTGTTGCGATTTAGCAGCGATTCGCAGATGGAAATTCGGTCCATGAGGTTTTTTTGAGTTAACTCGTGTGGTATCCATACATCGAGCTTCTTTTTGTATCCAGCCTTATTCAAATGGTTCCAAACGGTTTTTTGTGCAATGTTTAACTCCTGGGCAATCGAAACAGTGCTTACATGACGGTCGGACTCGACGATTTCTATTATTTTATCGACATTTTCGACAATTGGCCTTCCAGAGCGTGATGCATCTTTGACATCAAAATTACCGGAACGGAATCGACGAAACCAAAATTGCGCGTGATTGGCTGTTACAGTATCAGGACCATAAACACTATTCACATTTTCAGCCGCCTGGCTTGCGTTTTCGCCTTTATCGAAGAAAAACTGTAAAATATGACGTATTTTCTCTTTGCATCTTCTAGCGTCCATCTTTGACGCGCACTCAAACAATACTGAGTCAAGCAATCACAAAACTGTCTGAGAAGTTTTTTTAGTACGAAATCTTATCTTTCTAACGCCATCTAGCGTAATCCGATCGCACTTATACAACGCGAGATGCAGATTACTAAAGCCATCTATTGGAAAAATAATGGATTTCTTTTTACTACATCTTATATTAAATGATGGACAGACAGTATTATTCAGATTCATTAAAAAAAAAAATGATATCTAATCTAAATAACGAAGAAATTTAGGCAATTATTAAATAAAACATTTCTATCATAGTATATATTTTTTACTCGGCAAGCTGTTCTCTCATTTTAAATATCGAAAAAGGGACAACAAAGATTGAACAAGGAATAGGGATAGTACGCTAACGTCGCTTTGTTATGACTATGCGTAATGCACAAGCTTTTATATTATTTATTGTACAGTTTATTTATATTTTAATACCGCATCTCGATAGAGTTTGTATTTTGGTTCTTTGATGCAGCGCGCACAGAATTCAATCGCTCCTTTCTTTGTCGATTCTCGTTCCTCTAATATTATGTAGACTGAAGAGAAGCTAAATATATTCTTCGACAATTTCTACTGTGCTTTCAACAAGTAACAAGTTATGTCGAAGTGCGCGGTACACGCTGCGGTAATGTTACAGCGTAATCTTTAGTATCTTTAAGTAGAAGAAGGTGAACGTGGCAATTCGCAATGATTGCAACGTATTTTGTACTAAAAAAAAGAAAGAAAGAACGCGCTCGCACGCCTACAGCACATTAAATAGTACTTTTCAGCTGTACAAAAATCTTCGTTCACACTACGCGTCCTGTTAATTACAATAATACTAATGTTTAGCTTTGTCTTATCTCGACTGCACTTATATCTCAGATAGTATATATGTATATTTATATACGTGTATTCCAATGAACATATCTCTAGGAATACATTCGCTACATTTACAGGCACTATTCCCTTCAAAATCGAGTAACTACCGTCACCTGCATTTCTATATGAACAAAAAAAAAGAGATTAAGATCTAATGAATCAAATGTGTCAAATTTAAATTCCAACTGAAAGACAATTTATAACTCTAAAATTTTTCTTGATACTTATCTTCAACAACTTGATTATGCAGAACTGCTTTACAAAGGAATGTTTCTCTCGATCCATTAAAATTTGCAAAATAATACTATATAAATTTTCTCAAAACTTTGTCGTTATTATAATTTGCATTTTTCTCACGCTACGCGAATAGGTAGTAATTACAATTGAATTTATATACAAAGACTTTTTTTGCTTGCTATACTCAGAGAATTCGATATACTTGCTAATGAGAGCAAAATTAATCATGAATAAAACAATTAATAGATCGAAGAATGTATTTTTGTTCGTAAGTTATATAAGTCAGTATTCTTAATTAAGACGATTCACGATATAATTATAATATAAAATCTTATTTCGGTGGTTTGTTATATCAGTCCGCGTATCGTCAGCAATGATTATACAATATATAGAATTTGGTCAAATATCACATTAAAACTCGAGTATTTTTATCCGATTCATCGAATAACTTTAATAATCGAGTATATCACGTCGATTCTTTTAATTTTTGTCATTTACGGACATAAGTATACAAGAATTTCATGTGAATTAGTTCATACATATTGATATCTATTTTTCGTAAATATTCAAGAAAAACTATATATCATAATAGTCATATCATAATAAAAAATTATTTTAGTGGATAACTTTAATTCGAGAATATAATTTTGTCTTATTGTTGCAATACAATTCTGTGAATCTTTTTTTTTTAGTATAAAAGCCAAAAACATTGCAACTTTTGTACAAAGCTTTACTCTTCGACATTTGCATGATTCTGATAATACGTGAAAATGAAATATCAAAATGAGGACAAGAAAGAGGCAATCTTTTAGGTGTATAGATATAATCCGAAATAATTTGTATCTTGCTTTAACAATACGTATTAACAATATACAGTTTGATATATATCGATGATATCACTTCTATATAATCAATGAAAATTGTCTGAAACCTTAAAAGAACCATGCCTATTCACGTATAGAGCGGTGTTAAAATGGATCTACTTATTATGCAAAATCAGTAATTAAGATTAGATATCTCTAAATTTTTCCAGTAGAAATAAAAGGAAAAAAAATGATTTTTATAAATGAGTACGTAAGATATCAAAGATATTAGATTGATAATATACAATGCGTTCAAAAAAAAATGTAAAAGATCTCGTGCATACAACGAGGACAGAACAAAGGACATTCGTTTTTATCGATCGCGAAATACTCTTCGATAACTACTTTTTTTTTTAATTGTCACATATCCTAATCATACACAAGATCAAAAGGAAAATATCTACGTTACTCCATTTCACAAAAGGTGAATACAATTTGCATAAAGAATATATAATCGTGATTAAGTTGCGATTTTAGACATTCTTCAACAAGACAAATAACAGTGTAACAGTGAATTATTTCATCTTTATTTAATTAGCAAACAACAAAGTTGCAACGATAATTCACTGGTGTTTCAATTGTGTTTCTTGTTGGAAAATGTCCTTTCTCTCCAAGATTTTGTCATATCTCCAAAAAAAGTTCGTTCCTTCAAAATTCGTCATTTCTTTCCCGATCATGCTCGATTGTAGAAGGGCGCGGAGAATCGCATTCTGAGCAAATAATGGCGTAGCTACCTACTGTCCTTGGCGAAAAGCTCGAACGTCTAATGTGTAGCGTGTCTGTGTAGCATTTGTACCATAAAAAATTAAGCTTAAGTGATTTTTTATACACTATACAGAGCATCGTGTTTGTTATATCATAACGTCACGTTCAGTGAACTTCTCTGTTGTTTTAACGCGTCACATCTAATTTTTCTCAAACGGGATA